AGATATCTTGGAAGTAGATGAGGGGATGGAAAAATTTGTGCTGCCACTGGTTGCTGCATTTGCTGCAAGTTCTGCCCTTTCTTTAGCATTTTGTTGCAAATACTGGAGTGTCTGCACATACATGAAGAAAGAAAAGATCTGGTGAATGCTGGTCAGCACACTAAAGCAAAAAACATATGACCATAAGATGGCTGTGCTAAATCAGACTACAGCTCTTTCTGTCCCAGTTTTCCATGTCTCAGTGGCTTATATCAAGAATAGTGCAACTGTCAGTAGTGCTTTAACAATTCAGTAGACCTAGAACTGGTTATCTATTGATTTCTATGCTGACCATTATCATCAGAAAGCATGTGGTACTTAAAACCATTGCACTGTTAATACTGTTGGATACTTATAATACATCCAGCTCTAAAGGAGAAACAAACCTCTTTGTCTTCTGTGAGTTTTGACAGTAGATAAACTAAAGAATCGAGATGTCTTGTATTTTTAGATTTCAGCTCATCGTACTTCTTCAAAAAATCCTCAGGAGTTCGAGAGAACTCTGCTATTTTTACCTGTAAAACACCACATAAGTAATAAATGTTTAATGTACATGATTAGCTCAGCATTCAAGACAGAAACATTGTGTAAGGAGGAAGACAATGAGGTGCAGCCTGGGGTTGCCACCAAAGTACTCCAGGGAATGGATTTTCGACTGAATGCTGCAGCACTGGTTTCCTGCTAATAGTTATGCTGGAGGAGAGTGGGAGTCCTGGGACTTCAGGTGATAGAGAAGGGACTGCAGAAGAGAAACAATGAAGGTAAGCACAAGAACTGCAGCAGGGCTCGCTTTGCACATGCTCAGTCTGAAGCAATATAATTTTGTATCAGCAGGTTTAAGGAATTTGGAATTGATGAAGCCACTGGATCCACTTTGGAGGCCCCCCCTAGCAAGAGAGATATCAACCAGACTGAGCCCAGTGCAGAGCCATAGAGATAGTGGGGTGTACTGCCTGTTGCCCGAAAGGGTTACAGACCCTGCTCTAAGGGGCATAGCAAAAGCATCACAGGCACTGCCACAAGCTGTGACACAGAAAATCACAGCTGACCTAGGGAAAGAGTCCTTTCTGGAGAGAGTGGTGATGCTGGGACATGGCCAGAGATGGAGGAGTCTCCTAGAGATCTTCAAAATGCAGCTAAGCAGTCTGCTGTAGCTGTAATGCTGGCCCTGCTGGGAATAATGGGTTAGACTGCAGGTCTCCGTCTGTGTCTCCTACTTCAATCTTTTGACAAGTCTATGAACTGTCAGTGTAAATGATGCACGAGACTGGAATTAGAGAAAACAGGCAGTTCAGGCTACAAAGAGCTGAATTTCCAGACAAAATTAGCAACTCGGAGCTTGACTGATGGATTGCTTTTAAAAACAACAGTGAAAAGCAATATTACAGCCACAGAAGTATACCTGGTCATGAGAATATCAGGTTTCAATCCCTAATACTTGGAGATATTCAGAAGTCAGGTATTGTCCATATCAGCACACGTCATACAGTTACTCTTTCTCATTCATTTGATTCCTCCAAAGGACAACCCCTCTAAAATTTGAAACAGCCATCATAGGCACAAAATAAGCTATTTCTTTAAACTTCCGGCCCCATCTCAGTTCTAACACTCCCTATGTTCTCCCACCCATCCCTCCAATACGCAAGGATTTTACCTTTTTCCTGATCTAATCTTTCTACTTTATACCCCAAATTGAGACTCCAGATCAGATTCCTTTTTTTATACCCTTGCCAACATGATTTCACCATTATTCTACAAATAACTTGGCATGGCCATTACCCACCCCCAACATGTGTCCAGCTCCACAAACACAGAGGTCAAGTTACCTCAGAGGAAAGCAGAGTAAGGAAAAGGTAGCTCATACCACAGGCCAAGAGAAATCATAGAATCACCATAAAATCACAGACTGGTTTGGGTTGGAAGGGACCTTAATGCTCACAGGCAGGGACACCTTCCACTAGAGCAGGTTACTCCAAGCCCCTGTGTCCATCCTGGCCTTGAAGACTGCCAGGGATGGGGCAGCCACAGCTCCTCTGGGCACCCTGTGCCAGCATCTCAGCACCCTCACAGGGAAGACCTTCTGCCTAAGAGCTCATCCCAATCGCCTCTGTTCTGGCAGGTTAAAGCCATTCCCCTTGTCCTGTCCCTACAGGCCCTTGTCCAAAGCCCTTCTCCAGGTTTCCTGCAGCCCCTTTAGGCACTGGGGCTGCTCTAAGGTCTCCCCTTAAGGAGCCTTCTCTTCTCCAGGCTGAACCAGCCCAGCTCTCTCAGCTGGACTGAAATCACACTGAGGAATCTTAATCTTGAAGTTCTCTTTAGGGAGGAACGTGCTTTCAGAGCTGATGGAACCTCTATCAAGGACTGCAAAGAAAACATGCTGTCTCAGGGGTCCCACTGCCCCACTGGTAAGGTCTGAAATGCATGTTGGCTGTGCACCAACACTTACCTTCACACTGTGTGCAGAGACAGCCGTGGTAACATATGGTGTTCGATTCTTCTGCAGAAGGTCAATGTAGACTTCAGCTCCTTCCCCTCCATGAACATGCAGCAGGCTGAGCAACTCATTGACATCATGGTGAATGCGGAACTCGCTCATACTCCCACTTGAGGCTACGAGCAACATGGGACACAAAGGTGCCAAATTATTTTGCTGCTGCAAATGAAAATATACCCTGAATGTTTCCTGGCTACATTATGAGCCTGCTACAAGGTCTGACTGGCACAAAGAAATACATTTTGTTTGCAATTTGTGCAGACAAAAGAGAGGTGCCTGTTATCATGCCTGATTTAACTATACTGGTACAAACCCCAGTGATAACAGAGGTGAGCCAGCAGAGGATTTTTCAATCTGGTGGAGAAGTCACTGAATCATCATAAAGAAGTGCTGGTTTCTGTACTGACAGACCGCAGACACAGCTGGAACTGCTGGGTCCAGCAGCCTGCCCATGCTGCTACTTCTGAAGTCATTCAAATGCAGTTTTTCCATGTTTAGGGGTCTCCATATTTATATTCTTGCACATTTTGTCAAGAGACAAGCACCAAATTCTGCATATTTATTGAAATACTGGCTGCAGAACTAAGAGTCTGTCTGAGGCACCGTGCAAGTACAGAGTCTAATGTAACACCTGTACAGATGCAGAATACCAAGCACATGGAAAAACATTTGCCAGAATCATTGAATCTTTTAGGCTGGAAAAGATCTCTGCAAGGCCCAGTGCAAGTCTCCAAACAAAACTGCATCAAATTACATGCTGTGAAGGGCTTTCTCCAGTCCAAGCTTAAATGTCTCTAAAGATCCAGATTCCCACACCACTTGGGGCCCTTATCCTCACATGGAAACACCTTTTCCTAATATCCAACTGGTGTTTCCTCTGCTGCAGCTTGGCCAGGGCCTCTGGGGCTCTTGCCTGTGCCCCTCTGGCCCTAGCATCTCCAGGATCCCTTTGGGCAGCAGGAGATGCCATTGGATCCCCCTTCGCCTCCCTGTCTCTGGCTGCTCCTGCAGCCTTTCCTCCTATGCCTCCACCCTGCCTGGCCAGGGCCTCCCTGGCCTTGCTCCACTTCATAAGTCTCTCACAAGGGCCCAGACTGGAGCATTTAGGATGTGGTGCCACAAACAAGGTGTTCCTTTTCCTTTATGTACTGGCTATGTCCTTGCTAGCAGCAGTGAGAACCAGTCTCCAGGACCTTCAGGTCACTTTCTTCTTCCTTCAGGTCACTTCCTTCAATACCAGGCTGGATGGGGCTTGGAGCACCCTGCTCTAGTGGAAGGTGTCCCTGCCCATGGCAGGAGGTTGGAACTGGATGAGCTTTAAGCTCCCTTCCAACACAAACTAGTCTGGGATCTATGATAGTGTTCCCAAATACTCAGCTTTTGCATTATTTCCAATTCCTTACAGTTTCTGTGAGCTCACTTCTTCAGCCTGTCAAGGTGCCCATGAGTGGTCACCATAATCCCAGCCCAAACCCCCAGCCCATGAACCCCTCATAGAACCATAGATCAGTTTGGGCTGAAAAGGACCTTAAAGCTCATCCTGTTCCGATCCCCTGCCACAGGTAGGGTCACCTTCCACTAGACTATGTCACCCAAAGCGCTGCCCAGCCTGGCCTTGAACACTGACAGGGATGGGGCATTTACCACTTCTCTGGGCACCCTGTGCCAGGGCCTCACCAGCCTCACAGGGAAGAGCTTCTTCCTTATCCCCAGCCTGAACTTCCCCTGTTTCAGTCTGAACCCATCACCCCCTGTCCTATCACTACAGTCCCTGATGAAGAGTCCCTTTCTGCATCCTGCTGTGGGATGCATGATCTTGACCAAAGCCATCCCTCCCATCACCCTGCCCGTCAAAGCACACATCAAACGTCACCAGCCCCAGCAGGGAGCATCGGCACCAGTAACAACATCCAGTTCCCCCTCGGGTTGCCCTGTAACAACCGAGGCGAGGCCAGGGGCGCAGGCCTTGCTCAGCGGGCCCCAACGGTACCTCCTCTTGTCCTAAGGGCTCCCGGAGACGCCGACACCGCACTCTGCTCGGGACGGGAGCCCGAGGCACAGGAAACCCCGCCCGGGCCCAAGGAAACAGCCCATATCCAGGAGCGACGCGGGCTCCCCATCCCCGGGAGGATGCTCGGACACAGCCCCCAGTGATCTGCTGTAGCCGAGACACCGGCCCTGCCGGCGGCAGAGCCAGGTCGCAGAACCCAGTCGGGTGCTGCGGTGGGACCCGCTGCTTCCCGACCATCCCGCCCCAGTTTACCCGGGGCGGCGGGCACGGCTTCCCCGGCCCCGCGGTGGCTCCAGGCGGGACCGGGACCAGGACCGGGTCCGGAACCAGGTCCGGAACCGGAACCACCACGACCACCACCGCGACACAAACCCCAGCACCTGCCCTACCTGCCCGAGGGGAAGCTCCCGCCACCGCTGGCCGGAAGCGCACCCCGCGCCTGCGCACAGCGCCTCTTCCGCCCGGCCCGAGGCTGCGATGTTGTCGCTGCCGCCCGGGCTGCTCCGCCGCCTGCGGGAGGCGTCGCTGCCGTTGCCAGCCCCGCCGCAGCCGTCCCCTGCTCCCGTCCTGCCGCTGCCGCCCTTCACGTTCGCTCCCCGCCGGCTCCAGCTCGGCTCCCACCACCCGCTCTTCGAGGTGAGCGGCTGCCCCCCGGGCCCTGTCGGTGCGGAAGGCAGCGGCCGCGCTCCCGCAGAGCCCCGCTTGTCTGTGGAGAAGGCCTGGCTCTGCGGGCCTGTCCATCGCCTCTTCTCTCCTCTCTTTTCCTCTCCCAGGATGGGGACGTTCACAGGCACCTCTACCTCCAGGGGGTCCTCACCAGCCTCGGCGAGGTGGCGGAGAAGCCCAAGTGAGTGGGATGGCGGCAGCTCTGCTGCTTGGTCTGTGCCTCCCGTTGGGGAGCAGCACTGTTGGTGTGGACCTCAGCCGCTCGCGTTGTGCCGGTGCCAGGCTTATACGGGTACCAGTGCACACACTGGGTCTTTGGGGACACAGTCATAGGTCCCAGACTGATTTGGTTTGGAGGGGACCTTAAAGCTCATCCAGTTCCAACCCCTACCACGGGCAGGGACACCTTCCACTAGAGCAGGGTGCTCCAAGTCCCTGTGTCCAGCCTGGTCTTGAACACTGCCAGTGATGGGGCAGCCACAGCTTCCTTTGACCTTTTGGGGGCTGTTCATTCTGGGGAAGAGAAGCTGTGTGGAGACTTTAGAGCAGCTCCCAGTGCCTAAAGGGGCTACGGGAATTGTAGCCCCTTTAGGCACTGGAGAGGGGCTTTGGACAAGGGCCTTCAGGGACAGGACTAGGGGAAAGGCTTTAACCTGCCAGAGGGTAGACTGAGATGAGCTCTTAGGCAGAAGGTCTTCCCTGTGAGGGTGCTGAGACACTGGCACAGGGTGCCCAGAGAATCTGTGGCTGCCCCATCCCTGGCAGTGTTCAGGTTGGTCAGAGACTTGGGTGACATGGTCTGGTGTGAGGTGTCCCTGCCCATGACAGAGGATTGGAACTGGATGAGCTTTAAGTTCCTTTCCAGCCCAAACCCACCTGGGATTTTATGCTGCAGTCCATCTAGATACTGCCTCTGTTGGATGTCTAGATGTTTGTTGGATGCCATGGCATTTCACTGAGAGTTCCCATAACCAGAAAGGCATCTGTAATGTCTGAAAATTGGGATCCTAGCTAAACAAGAGGATTCAAGTGGCAGGTTATTATTCACCAAGTAAAAAACAGTGGGAGAGCCATGTGGTACTGACAGCCCCAGTCAGGAAGGCTGAGCCTGGGGTTAGTCATCTTGCTGTAAAACCTGCTCTTGTACATAAAATTGAGGCAGTTGAGGTTTGTGTGAGGTTATCCTACAGCCTTGGCACAAAGTTCTCATCCGCTTTCAAGTCCAACAGCTTGTTTCTGACATTCCTGCTTGTGGTTTATTCTTAATTGACGCACCACTTCACAGGATGACAATATATATGATGCTTAAGCCATAACAGCAAATAAAGAGTTTCTAAGTACCATTATAATCTTCATTCCATTACACGTTGTGTTTAATTTAAGTATTATTCACAAAAAATGCCACAAACAAATACAGTCACTGAAGGGATATATGCAGCTTAAATTAAGGCTCTAATTTAAGGTACAGATGCTGTGATTTCCCCGCAGAGTATCAGAATTCAGTTGCCACATCCCTGGGTGCTGCCAGGTCTTTGACACACTGGAAGGCTACGAGCACCACTACAACACGCTGCACAGGAACGTGTGCTCCTTCTGCAAGCGCTCCTTTCCATCTTGGCATCTCCTGGATATCCACATCTTGGAGTGGCACGACTCACTCTTCCAGATAATGGCTGAGAAGCAAAATATGGTGAGTCGCTGTGCATAGCCTTTCACCTGGGTTGGTGTACACGTTACAGGCTGGCCCCCTTAAAGAATGACCATTTGGGAAGGATACCCTTGTTCCCAGCTGACACTTCTGACCTTTTCCACTTATTTTTACTTTTCCCCTGTTCCCCTGCCTTTCAGTACAAGTGCTTGGTAGAAGGCTGTGCAGAGAAGTTCAAGAGCAGCAAGGACAGAAAGGATCACTTGATCACTGTTCATCTTTATCCTGCTGACTTTCGGTTTGATAGACCAAAGAAAGTGAAAAGGTAACTGCAGAACGGCAGTAGCATAACTAGTTTTCACGTGTTAGAGGTGATGTGCTGCTCTGCTGTGGCACTCCCTTTGCAGAGGAAGCAAGTTTATGTTCTCAGAGGTTCAGAAATGAAACAGGTAAACTTTCATGTGGCAATGTTTTACTTCATGTTAATGTTGAAAAGTGTCTTCTTTCCCTCCATGGGTGGCTCCAGGCTCTACTCCCTTTGTGCCATTTCAAGTGTAAATGCATATCCCAGCATCTCTCTGTCACTTTGTGCATGTTTCTTGTAGGAAATCTCAAGCCTATTGAGTGAGTTACACTTTATGGACCGAAGAAAAGAACTTGGACACAAAGCTGTGTGCTATAATGCAGCCACCCTGAATACTTAGTAGAAACTCACACAAACCTATTACACAGACCCCCAACACCTTTTTGGCTGTTCCAGGTGGTTTGTGCACCCAGATTGGTCTTGACCTGTTTCATCATTAAATACCCTGTAAGCCCCAAAGAAATAAATGACAACTAGTGAGGAAATGTATAATATTTTCTCTTCGCAGTGGCCCCAAGCACATGAGCAATCCCGCAAAGCAGGATGCCAGTGTGCCGATGGATATGATTGTGGAGACAGAGCAATTCCAAGTGGATCCCATGGAAGTAGCGCCCAGTGAGACCATGGAGATCCCTGAGCCTGCAGCCAGTTCTTTCTCCTCAGTGCCAGAGAAACGTCTCTATAAATCCAGGTCTGTACTGTCGGCCTCCACAGGCAAAAAAAACCTCTGGGACTGAGACCATAGTCATCTTAATAGCGTTTTGCAGTGCTTAGCACAGCACAGGTCAGGGTATTTCTGTGTTGAGGATAAAAGATGTAAGATTTCCATGTATGCTTTAAAAGCCATTTTTAAAAGAGTAAGGTGTAAGGAAGGCCAAAGTGTGAGTACCCTGTGAAAGCTGTGTCAGTAGGGTCCTGTTAATCTGCCAACCCGTGATCTCTTCCCAGGCTAGAGCAGAATGCTGTGGGTGTGAAGGCAAGAACCCTGTCCTAAAATACTCCAACGAGTCTTGTGATTTCTAACACTTTTCCATTCTGGCTGACTCGGGGCTGAGCTGGTGCGTTTCACTGCAGCTGTCTGTGCTCCCATGCAGGTGCAGGACAAGGCACTCACAGAACAAGTGAACATCCTACTCTGAGTCTTAGGTTTTGCAAAGCCAGAGCAGATTGCTGGGTTTGATGGTTTGCTTTTTGGTTTTGGTTTTGTGTTAAACACAAAATCTTAGCAAAAGGTTGAAACTGAATTTCTTAATGCTGGCTTGACTTCTGAATTCATAGAATCATAGAATGGTATGGGTTGGAAAGGACCTTAAGATCATCCAGTTCCATACCCCTGCTGGGGTGTGCCATGACTGTGCTGGAGTGCCATGCAGGGAAACCTGTTTCTGTCAGTGGCTCCCTCTTCCTTTCCCTGTTGTCAGTTCTGCTTGTGTAAAGTGAGGTGAGCTTTACTGCTTCAGAGCTTTCTGCTGAGTCATGGAGTCTGAAAGTGCTCACCACACACTACTGCAAGTAGGGTCTTTTCTATGTCATGGTTTGCCTGACAAACTCCTGTGCTAAGCAGCCACCATGGTGACATTTTAAGCTTCACTGTCTTGTCCAGCATAACAGCTTATAAACCCTAAAGAAACCATCCCTTGAATTTGATGTGATGCTGCAGGTCAAAAGGAGAGTTGGCTGCTGAAAGGCCATGCTTTTACTGCTGTTTCTTCTCCTGCTTTTCACAGTCATGTGCTTCCACAAAACCCCACTGATGCTGCCCAGTGGCATATTGCATTTTTTAACACCTTACACCCTGTTGTTAAGAGAGGGGAGAACATAAATGTGAGAAATAAATGGGAAAGCAGACCAGTATTTCACCCATTTTTTGCATTACACTTCGGCATTTGAATTACACTTTGAATTACGCTTAGGTGTCCTGCTTCTCCAGTACCTTCCTCTTCCCAGTCCTGACAGCTTGAACTGCTACAAAAGGCATAAAGCATCCTAGTGATGCTGTGAGAGATGGGGTGTTGATGTGTATTACAGCATGCCTCCCTTTCCAGGATCCCATCCACAATTTGCTTTGGACAAGGTGCTACCCGAGGATTTAAAGGACCAAGGAAAAAAGTCTGAAGGTCAATACAGCAGGTTTGTACAAGACAAGCAGGCGCTGGCTGCTTCTGCCTGCAGACATTGGCATCATGACCAAGTGGGGACATTTGCAGAGTGTGCAAGGGTCCCACTCCCTAGTGGGGAGGCAGAAGGGTGAAAACAGGGGTTGTGCAGCAGCAGTGTGGGATACACATTGAGAGGAGCTTTGCTCCAGTCCCTTTTTTGTCTCCATAGCAGCTCCCTTTGGCAGCATTTCAGAGCTGACGCTTCCTGAGGCACAGCACTCTCTTTTCTGGTCCCCTCTGAAATCCAACTAAATTCTTCTGCCTCTGTGTTGTGAGGTTTTGTCTCTCATCAGTGCCAGGACTGCTCTGGGCAGCAGTGGCTCTGTAGATAGATAGGCACATACTGCCTGAGCTTGCAGAAACGCAAATGCTGGTCTGAAACTCCAGGTGGCTGCAGGGATCCCATAGGCTTCACTATCCCATAGGAATCACTATCAGAAATGCAGCAGGGGTAACACGGAGCAAAACACACAGTTTCCCTCTTCCTGCAGGACATCCCCCCCAGCTCCCTCCCATGGCCTTGGGCAGGTTGTCACACTTCCCTGCCAGCCGTGCTTGCACAGGGGCATAGCAAAATAAAACCCAGAGGAAGAGCAAAGGAGATTACAACAATTCATCGTTTTAATTTTGTTCTTTCATTTTCTTCTCTTTTCCCTTTTAAAGCTCCAGCAAGCACAGCCCTTGAGACATGGGGCAGGTTGAGCTCACACAGAGAGTCTCAGACTGCAGCAGACGGTGCTGGTGGGCCTGCAGTGGTGTGGAGGTGAGAGGAAATAGGTTGCTGCAGCTGACCCTACACGGGGTTATCTTCTTGATTCTTTCCTTTTGGGGGAAAAATGGATTCAGGGAATTCCAAGACAAAACCTGATGACTGTACAGGAGCTGGAGCCACTGACAAAAAAGAAAAGGGGGGGGGAGGACATTGGTCCTTAATTCTGACCTGCATCTCACTGAAGGCTGCTCTGCTCCCTAACACTTGCTCTGGAACCCATATGAAAGGTTTGCTTGGGCCAGGAGAAGCGTTCTGGTGCCCTGCAGCTCATTTCCACAGGGAATTGAAATGGAAGTGGCTTCCAGCGAGGTGAATAAATAAAAGGAGTTTTTACAAAATAACTTTGTAGAGAATTTAAATACTGTCTTGAAGCACAGGCAGAGTCAGATGTGAAGAATGAACCTCCCTTTGCTCCAGATACCCCCACAATCAGGTTGAGATGGAGGTTATTTTCCCTCTTGTCTTTCCCTTCCTTTTTAATCTCATCCTGCCAGAGGAAAAGGTTGATTGGAAACACAGAGCCAGGTCTCTGGTCCTGTGTCACTTTTAAAATGGCCCATAAAGGAGCGAAAAAAAACCAGGAGGTTGCAGGAGTGATGTTTATCCAAGAAGCTTAGGATCTCTGATTGCTCTTTTCCCTCCCCCCTCTCTGGGTGGAACAAAGGATAAAAAGGGCTTTGCAAAATCCTTGCAAATAGGAGCAGGGAATGATGCTTGCAGAGATTTCCCTGTCAGTTTTAGAATGCTTTGCTGTGTTTAAAACTCAGCCAGCTTGTCTGGCCCTAATCCTTCCTCAGCCTCCAGAGAGAGCTGTCTTTGGCAGGCAAACCCTCTGTCCGGGAGGTCCAGCCTCACCTTCTCCTGCTGCTGGACCCCCAGAGACAGTCCATGGTGCAGGACAGGGAAGACCAGGCTCTGTCACCACCTTTGTGGCCACCACCCTGATGCTGCTGCCACATGTCTGCACAAGGACATCTATCAGCAGTGACCAGCAATGACCAAAAATCACCTTCCAGCACTACAAGCCCTTAATGAGGCTTCTTTCCCCATGCTGGAATAACTGGAGATTGGAAGCAGGCATCACGTCACAGGAAATGCCTGCATGCTTTGGCCTGTGATGGTACAAAGATCATGCAGAAGCAGTCCACTTCCCCTTATGTGTTTAGGTCCTGAGTTTCCACCTGGAAATTCCTTTCTTCCCTTTTCCTAGACTCCAGGCCCAGAGGTTAAGTAAAAGATTAATACTGTAATTACAGCCTCAGGGCTCCTGACTCAGTAACTCTTCTGGGACACCAGTTTCTTCCAGAGCATGGGCATGGGCATGGGCATGTGCATCCCCATATTTGACAGCAAAGCAAACAGCCGTGTTTCTGACCTCTCCATAAATGACCCATGACTAAATGCACTCTGCAAGCAGGGACCAGCTGGAAGTCTCCTCAGAGCTGATATTCTCAGAGCCTGGCTGCCCTCTAGGAATAAGGCTCCTCAGAGCACAAGCAGGCTCTTGCAAGCAGCAGGTGTCAGGAGGGAGGAAGATGGACTCCAGGCACCTTAGCTCATAGGATGCTTTGGGTGGGAAGGGACCTTACAAAACCATCCAGTCTGACCCCCCTGCCAGGGGCAGGGTCACCTTCTACTAGACCAGGTGTGAGAGCCCATCCAACCTGGCCTTGACCCATAGACAAGCACAAGATTTTCCAGCTCATCAGAACTTTGCCCTCTGAGATTGAACAGCAATGGGGTGGCAGGTTCAGCCCTCTCATGGTGATGGATATTTGCAGAGTCAAATAAATCCCTCCTGTTCTGCGGCTGAGGGCACGGGTTTGTACTTCATTGATTTATTTCCTCTTGGTTGATCTCTCCCTGCTGAATTACGCCTTACTCAGTGATCGAACCAAAGCTCGGAGGTCGGCTGTGGACGTGCCATATAGTGCTTGTCAGGGCACTCCCAGCTCCACACCAAAGATCTTTATGTTACTTAATGGCTTCTATTTAGGCTTGGACTTAGCAGTTTGGACCTGACAAACCCTCAGGTGGCTTTGGGTGGGAAAGGACCTTCCACCGCCTGGAATACTATCCCATATCATGCACCAGCCTCAGGGAAAATCAAATGGTACAATGTATTTGCGGAACTACACTGCGAGCAATGGGTGGTGGGACTTCCAAACATTGGGATACACGTTTAGCAAATGACCTGGTCAGTCAGCACTAAGGGATCTGCCAATCTGGATGCCTAAACCCCACGGCAGAAGGGTTGCTGTGCCTGGGTGCATGAGGGCACGTCATCCCAGTGCTCCCCTTGCCCCCAGTAGCACCAGCATCACGAACTGGCCCCACCCTGGGAGTGGCCACAGCAGCAAAACTGCGGTCAAAGAGCGACTGAGGGCCAGGGAGCACAGGAACAGCCATGGAGAGGTGAGTCCCTGTGGGATGGCTCAAGGCAACAGGATACAGGCAGACATTGGGCACAGGTGGGTGCAGCAGGAGCTGTGGGTGCAGGATACAGGCAGACACTGGGCACAGGTGGGTGCAGCAGGAGCTCTGGCTGCAGGATACAGGCAAACACTGGGCACACGTGGGTGCAGCAGGAGCTGTGGGTGCAGGAAGGCCCCAGCCAACACAGCTCCTGCCAACAGGGTTCCCCCATCTCTCTGCAGCATGAGGATCCTGTGGCTCTGCAGCACCACCGTTCTGCTGGGCGCTGCCCTTCTCCTGCCTGCCCCTGGCAGCACCCAGGTGAGCCCCATCCATCCATCCATCCATCCATCCATCCATCCATCCATCCATCCATCCATCCATCCATCCTCTGCCTGCCCTCCCTCTGCCCTTGGCATTAGCAGGCAGAGGGAGTCCTCTGTGCTCTGTGCCACCCCCTGGCACCTTCTCCCCACAGGCTCTGGGCAACCCCGGGATGAAGGACCTGTCTACGGAGGAGGATGTGGCCAAGGAAATGTAAGAGGCACCCACATCTGGCTTGGGAACAAAAACAAAGCAACACCTCAGCAGCCAAATGAGCCTGTTTGCTCCCCAAGATCCTAATTGCAGCCTCCTGGGGATGGGGGTTTCTCTCACCATGGTCCCTGCACCCTGATGGGGTGGGATGCCCCTGGGACATGGGGATGTTCAGTGAGCCTGACACACTGGGACCTTCCCTAGCTGAATCTGCTTCCCTCTTCCAGCATCCTGGGAGTTCGTGCTGTGGAGCCACCAGAGGAGGCTGAGGTCTCCAGAGATGTGGAACCAGGCTCAGAGGTTGTCTCCGGCAGCGCCTGGGCTCGCTGGGTTGCCCGCCAAGCCCAGGCAGGACCAGAGCAGGACCTTGACCATCTCCACCACTCCCAGGATGATGCTGCAAAGGATGATGCCTATGAGCGACCACTGATGCTGTCCCTGCAGGTGCAGAATGGCCCCGAGGAGGACCATGACCACCTCCACCACCGCTGAGCAGTGGAGACAGGCTCCAGATGCACAATGAGGTGTGGGAGCATCCCTGGTCCTCATCCCTCCCCACCCACCCTTGAGCCCCCCAGTAAACCCTATTAAAGCACCTCCATATGAAGCCAAGCTGAGAAAACTGGGATTGTTCAGCATGAAGAAGCTGTGTGGAGACCTCAGAGCAGCTTCCAGTATCTGAAGAGAGCTACAAGGATGCTGGGGAGGGACTCTTTATAGTGGGGGACAATAGTGATAGGACAAGGGGTGATGGGTTCAGACTGAAACAGGGGAAGATCAGGTTGGATATAAAGGCAGTTCTTCCCTGTGAGGGTGCTGAGATGCTGGCACAGGGTGCCCCGAGAAGCTGTGGCTGCCCCATCCCTGGCAGTGTTCAAGGCCAGGTTGGACACAGGGGCTTGGAGCAAGCTGCTCTAGTGGCAAGGGTTGGAACTGGATGAGCTTTAAGGTCCTTTCCAACCCAAACCAGTCTGGGATTCAATAATTTCCCCTCCATGTCCTGGTGTGCTCCTCATTGCTTCCAGAATCCTACTGCCAAGTGCAAGGCTCCAAAAGGTGGGAGATGTCATCCTTGGGCTCACTAAAAGAGACCCCGAGGAGGGTGAGAACGATGCCTCAGGGTGGGTGACTCTGACCATCACCGTGGTCTCAGTGAACCCAGCTGAGGCCGAGGCCGGGCAAACTCAGCACTGCACCCAAGAAGGTGCCATGGGCTGTCCCCTGCTCAGGGCACACATGGACCTATTGTCCATACGGCTGCTCTTGCCCAGCAGTGGGGAGCAGTGTGATGATGGGGTCTCAGTGAACCCAAACATATCCCAGCTCAGCAGAGACCCCACAGCAAGAATCTTCCATCTTCCTGCAGTGCTGGGAAAACCCTTTAATAGTGATGGGAAATTGCTCCCAGCTGTCGGTTGTCTCACTTGAGGCACTTGTCACTTGCCACCGGGTCTCAGACCCCTCTGTGGGCTGATGCGTGGGGCTGATGTGCTGCAGGGACCAGCACCCCCGCGGGCTCAGCTGTCGGTGAAGTTCGCTTTGCGCTTCTCCACAAAGGCTGACATCCCCTCCTTGCGGTCAGCCTGTGAGGAGCAGAGGGATGGGCTCAGGGGAGGGAGGCTGTGCCCACTCTGCTGTCCCCACCATACTGAGGACAACCCCTACTCACAGTGGCAAAGGTGGCATAAAAAAGCCGCTTCTCCGTCCTCATCCCCTCCACCAGCGTTGTCTCAAAGGCTGAAAGCAAAAGAGAAGTTAGGGAGACCCCATGGCCTGCAGCAGCCCCATGGCATTTCCACTGGCCCCCATCCCCTACCACTGTTGACTGACTCCTTTGCCATGGCAACCACCAGCTTGGAGTTGCTGGCAATCTTCTCAGCACAGGCAACAGCCGCATCCACGAGTTTCTCCACAGGGAAGATTTTGCTGACCAGACCTAGGATGGACAGTGGGGAGCTGTTGGGACAGCTCCCTGCTGTCCCCCCCGAGTGCTAGGACCAGCACGTGGTCCTACCTGCTTCCTTTGCCTCTTGTGCAGAAATCCGGTCCCCAGTGAGCACCATCTCCATGGCCAGTGACTTCCCCACTGCTCTGGTCAACCTCTGTGTCCCTCCAGCACCTGGAGCCATTTGGGGAAGGGAAAAGCCCAGAGAAGGATACCTCGGTGTTCCTGCTGTCCCTGCTCCAGTGAGGATGGACCCCCTTAGCAGGACCCCTGTGCTCACCTGGGATGGTTCCCAGCAGGATTTCGGGTTGTCCAAACTGTGCTTTCTCCCCAGCATAGATGATGTCGCATATCATGGCCAGCTCGCACCCACCACCCAGCTGGGACAGGGGAGAAAGAGGGGGGGTAAGAGGGGTAAAGGGCTGAGAATTTAGGCATAAGGAAGTTGGGGGGGACTCACAGCGTAGCCATTGACAGCAGCGATGATGGGCTTCCGGATGGTAGAGACTTTGTCCCAGCCGACAAGAAACCTGCTGCTGTAACACTCCTGGAAGGTTTTATTCTGCATCTCCTTGATGTCTGCACCAGCTGCAAAGGGAATTGAGGTGGGTTACCTCTTCCCACTCCCCCTCCAAAGCCTGGGGTGGGGGACGCATCCTGCCCTACCTGCGAAGGCTTTTTCGCTGCCAGTGATGACGATGGCCCCTACTTGCGGGTCGTTCTGCAGGGTCTGCAGCACATGCCCCAGCTCCTCCATCAGCCCGTCGCACAGGGCATTGAGCGCCTGTGGCCGGTTCAGCTGGATCAGGCCCACGCTCTGCCGTGCCCCCGTCTTCTGCACCGCCAGGTACTGGAACGCAGCTCCTGCCCGCCAGCACCGCCCCGTTAGGCAGCCGGCTGCCTACAACCGGGAGAGATCGCGCCCCCTCCCCCCTCCACCTGCCCTCCGATCAGCCACGGCTCCGTGCTGCTTTAAGGTGACCTTGAGATCGGTGGGCACACGGCGGCGGTCACCCGCAGCCCGCTGGGATGTCACCCCCTGGGATGGGTGAACGGGGCTCCTGGGGCACTCACTCCCGACCCGAGCAGGGTCACTCCGGTGACCACCTTCCGGTGCCTGCCCGATGCGCGGTGCTGGGATCCAGCACACGGTGCCGGGCACACGCACGGGATGGGGTCACGCACGGTGCACGGACGCTGTCACGCGGCGCCACAGCCCCGTACACGGCGCAAGGACCCAGGGCCCGTGACCGGTGTTGAGGCCCCTCCCGGTGACCTCCGCTCCGGTCCCGCCCCCCCATCCCCGCTCACCGGCGCTACAGCCCCGAGCCCCGAGTAAGGGGCGGGGCGGCGGAGGGAGGAACGCGCGACGACCCGCGCCGACGGCGGGACGGAGGAGCGCCAGAACGGACGCGGCCATGGCGGAGAGCGGCGCAGCTCGCTCCGCCCCGCCCCTGCTCCCATTGGCTGGGGTGGCCCCGCCCCGCAGCGCCCCATCCTCATTGGCCGAGGCCCCTCGGCGCGTTTACCGGGAGGGGCTCTCCCGGTGCCGTGGGCAGAGGTAGCCGGGCTCCGAGCTGCTCGCCCGGCGCTGCGGGACGGCAGTGGTGTCCCGCGGGGTGGGTTTAGAGGCGCGGCTCCCCCGACACGTTCCACGCAAACACGGGGTCCCAGTGCATGGGGGACGGGTGCAGGTACGGGAGCGAGCAGCTGCCCCGGGCACGGTGAGCCCTGCAGCGGAGGCAGCACACGCGGTGCCCGGTGGAGCGGGGTGTGCGTGCGTGTGCGTGCGGCCGCGTGCTTGCGCCCCGCGACCCTGAGCGGCGGCTCTGCTGCTGCGGGGAGTTTCGTGTGCGTGCCTCCGTGTGCAAGCATGCGCGGGAGAACGCGTCGCCCGCACCGGGAGGGGAAGGGGGGGGCTGGTGCGTGCCGGGCTCACGCTTGAGGCCGTGCGTGAGTCCCGCCCGGAGGCCGGGTCTCAGCGGCCGGCGCTCTCCCGTGCGCCCAGGCCGAGCTGCGGGATGTGGCGGAGCACGGCGGCGTGCTGGGCGCTGATGCTGCTGGCCGCAGCCTTCTGCGACACGGTGGCCGGTAAGGGCGGGCGCGGTGGTGCCCGGGGGGCCGCCCGTGGCGGAGCGCGGGGTGCCGCCCGCAGCCGGGTGAAGGCGGCGGTGCCCCGGTACGGCTCGTCCCTTCGCGTAGCCGGGGCGGCGGCGGCGGGAGCGGCGGCCGGGGTGGCAGCGGGGGCCGCCCTGCGCCGGGCACGGCTGGCGGGGGAGCTGGAGGTGGGTGAAGGCGCCGAGTACCGTGATGGCAACTGGACTGCCAGCGCCTGGACCTCCACCGCAGCGGGACGGGCCCCGCCGGGCTGGGCAGTGTCCTGGCTCTGCCCCTTGGCTGCCGTCCTCCGCCGCTGATGGTTTCGGGAGGAACATGGCCCGTGTCTGGTGCAGCTACCGATGCCGAGAGGACCAGCCTCCCCACCCCGGGGCTGAGCCCACCCCTTGGGATACCAGCAGCTCCCAGGACTGCGCCCGGCCTCATCCGTTATCCACCGCCAGCAGGGCAGGACCCCATGGAAGCCCCGCCACACGTCCTTGCCCTCCAGCCCGTGCCAAACCCCATCGACTTGGGCAACCCCGTTAGTGCTGCTCCTCCCTCTTTAGACGTGGGTCTCGCAGTGTTTGAAGGATGAGGAGGCAGCAATAAAGCTGAGCGGAAAGAAGTTATAACTGGATGCACGGTGAGGGGCTAAGGACAGGCACCTTGAGATGGCCCCGGCACCCTATCCATGCAGGTTTTATTTTGGAATTCAAATCCCAGAGACGGCCAAGACCACAGAGGAAATGGCTCCTCAGAGCTGTTGTCCTGGCAGGAAGCAGCACCAGGCCTCCTTTCCCCACAGCAACCACTGTCCAGCATGGGGACACCTGGGGGCAGCTCCTCATCCCCACCACAGGGATTCTGCTCCCCTGCAGCAGCCCAAGATCTGAAACTGGGGGCTGCCCTGGCAGAGCCACTTTAATCTCACACTAAAGCTCCATGCTGAGGTGGCTCCAGCCCATGCACCTGCAGGCGGTGCCTCTCTCCCCCATGGGACAGGTCTCAGTCCAGTGTCACCCTGCCCAGGCGTCCAGCCCGGAAATCCCGCAGGAACTCATAGGCAGCAGCAGGGTAGTTGAGCATCATCATGTTGACATTCCCTGGAGATGGGGGGGATGCAGAAGGAGGCATCAGTGGAGCCTGGACCCACCCTGGGATCCCCTGCAACCCAGGAGGCAGAGATCCCCCCATGGCACTCACCTGTGCCCGTCAATACCTTCACCTTCTGTGTCCTGCCCTGGGCAAGGGCCACGTGCCTCAGCACAAGCCCAATGTCATCGCAGGCCTCAGCCAGTCCATAACGCTGTACATACCTGCCAAAGGAGGTGGGGTGCATTGCTTCTGCCCTTCAAGCTCCCTGAGGACTAAGAGCAGCAGGTGCAGCCCAGGGCCCTCTCCAGCTTCCCCACTGGCTCACCTGAACTGCTGCTGCTTGTTCAGGGCATACAGGAGGTAGTCAGCCATGATGTCCTCCCCAACGAAGTGGTCATGGATGGCTCCTGGAAAACAGGATCAAGCCCCAGCTCCTGGAGCCCTAGCCAAACCCTGGCCACCCCTCCTGCCATCTACATGCCACCTGCGGGCATCCAGGTAGCGCGTGCTGGCCCTACGAGCAGCAGTCTCAGCCCAGCCTCATGTGAGGGCACACAGACACATCTGGAGAGTCCCCCAAGCCACAGCAGCCACCTCACCGCACAGTGCCAGCTTCATGCCTGTCTCCACATCGCCCAGCTTCGGTGCCAACACGCCAGGAGTATCCACCAGGTACATCAGGGGCTTCTCGCAGACCTGGGATGGGGGAGAGAGGGCTGTTAAGACACACTGCTTGGTAACTGCAATGTCAGAGACTTGCATGTGGCTAACAAGCAAGGTGTTGAATTGTTTTGTTAAGGTCTTGCTGGAAAGGGGACCTGAGAGACCTTTTGAGATCAGCTCTGCATGCATTGAGCAAGAAAAGGCAAAGGCCAGCACCCACCCAACTAGCAGGGACAGTACCTGGATTCTGGTCAGCACTGCCTTAGTGATACCAGGGTCACCACCGACAGGAGTGGCTTTCCCTTTGGGGAGAGACAAGAGTCAGACAAACAAGTGACATCCTGTCCCATCAGAGACTCCTCCCCAAGGCCAGGCACCACGGAGAAATACCTTTTTTGAGGTGCAGCCTCCGCAGGGAGTTGATGAGAGAGGACTTGCCCACGTTGGGCACGCCAATCACCAGGATGCTGTACTCGGTGCTCTGGAAGTGATGTGGATGTGGGCAGGGAGCAACCTGCCCTTGGCCACCTGCCCCAGGAGCAACAGGCAGCCACAACAGCAGAACTACCCAGCCTTTGCTGGTGCTTTTGGCCTTGGCTCTTGAACTGGAGAAGCTGCCAACAGCCACCCTAACTCCCTGCACACACTGGCAGTCTCACCTCAGCCCTGTGGTAGCGAGGGCTGTTGTCCACCAAGTTGGCAACCATGGGAACAATCTGCAGAGAGACACAGAGAAGGGCTGTAACTGTGGCTCTGCACCCACACTGGCCACTCGCTCAGAGGACACCATGCCAGAAGGATGCACAAAATGGGGGCCAAGCAGAGGACAGGGCTCGTATGGAACGCTGTGAACCAGCCAGCATCACTTCCTCGCAGTGGGGCACTGAGGCCTCTCCATGGGGCTGGGAAAAACAGTGCATGGCCCTCAGCTTCTGGAAGCAAGACGCGGGGCTGGGCTTGGAGCTACTGGTTCATTTGTTACCTTCTTGACATTGACATCACGCTTGCAGTCAGCAAAGACAACATGTGAGCATTGCTGTTGCTTCAGGTGCTCCAAGACTGTCTGGAGATGACAGGAAGAGGCATTGCTGGTACCTGCCAGCATGGACCCATGGACCCCCAGCCAGCCCTGCCCCAGTGCTCACCGGCTGCCGGCTGGGATCAGCCAGGTCCATCTTGTTCAGCACCAGGATGTGCGGGCGGATGCCCAGCACCTCCTTCAGAATGGGGTTACGGCCCGACAGTGGGATGTGAGCACCGTTAAGGACAGTGACTGTGCACTGGCATGGACGCAGGTACTGGGGTGAACAAGCTCTGTGTGAGGGGAAGCTGATGGGGCTGTTGCAGAGCTGGAGAGGGGTATGGCACAGAAGCATGTACTGGGGTGGACCAGTTCCTCAGGGCAGGAAACTAATGGGTCTGTTGTGCAGCTAGAGAAGGGTATTCCATGGAAGCAGGTACAGCGGTGGACTAGTTGTTGGTGGGGGTAAGCTGATGGGGCTCGAGTGGGGCTGTTGTGCTGCTGGAGAGGGGTATGGGGCTGGGAGAAGAGGCGAACTGGATGGACACGGGGCAGCTGGGGCACACGGGGCAGTGAAGACCCCACCGATGCAGGGGACAGTGTCCCGGAGAGCCATCTCCCGCTGCGCCGGGGGACACGGGGTGGGGAAGGCGGGACAGGACGAGCCGTGCTGGAGGATATGCGAGCGTCGTGCACCTCGATGAGGCAGTCGGCGCGCCGCAGGGAGCTCCGCATCTGCCGCAGGCCTGCAGCACAGCGCGGGGTGAGAGGCGGCGGCGGCGAAAGCGAGGGAGCGGCGGTGCCAGCCCGCCCCGCTCCCAACACCCCTCACCTTTGGCCATGTGCCCCGGGAACCAGGAGACCACATCGCGGCCGCCGAAATCGAAGCACTCCCGGAACCGCCGGGACCCGGCCCCAGACCCCGCCGCGGCCGCCCGCAACAACACCTCACACCCCCTCATGGCACTTCTGCGTCACATCCGGCGCGACGCGCGGGGAGGAGCCGCATCGCCCCGCCTGCGAGAGCGCGCCGGTGGGCGGGGCTTCCCCTCAGCTGCTAACGGCTGGATCCGCGCGGCGCTATGGCGGAGAAGCGGCCTGCGGGCGGGCCGGTGCCGGGTACGGGCCCCGGCGGCACGGGCAGTACCGGGCCCCGCAGCGAGGGGGAGGTACCCCCGGCAGCGGGGCCCGGTCCCCAAGCCACCCCCCAGCCGCAGCCGCCTCCGCCAGCCCCTCAGCCCACCGCGGAGCCAGCCCCGCCGCAATGTCCGCTGGACGACACCCGCTACCTGATCGCCAGCACCAACTGGTACTAAGGCTGCGGACCCTTGTCCCCGCCGGGCCCGAGCCAAGGAGCCGCGTCCATGCCCTGCAGAAGGAGAAGCCTCTCTGCGCGTGTCTGCCCGGCCGGGTTCTCAATAAAGGAGGCTGAGCGGCAAAGCACAGGGTTTATTTCTGCACCTCAGGGCCGTGGGGTGTCTCAAGGAGCTGGTTGAGGCGCTCGGCCTCTCGCCAGCCAGACAGCAGCGCCCCGTGGGTGGTGGAGTAGAAGGTGCGGTGCGTGGCCTCACCAGCGAAGAGGAGCTGCAGGGGCTGCAAGGTGGGCAGTGAGTGCTGGGGGCTTGCTGCCCCACCCCCCCCGCAGCACAACGGGGTTATCCTAACCCACCCTCATTTCCCTGCCCTCTGGCACCCTGCATGTGCATGCTCCATAGGGCACCTTCCCTTCCTTAGAGACCCACCCCATACTGTGAGCATCACAGAATCAACCAGGTTGGGAAAGACCTTTAAGATCGAGTCCAGCCCTTACCCCAGCACTGCCAAGGCCACCACTAACCCATGGCACTGAGGCCTTGTCTCCACGGTGTTGTGAACACTTGCAGGGATGGTGACTCCAGCACTGCCCTGGGCAGGCTGTTCCAGTGCCCGAGCACTCTCTGAGGAAGGAATTGCTCCTCATCTCCATCTAAACCTGCCCTGGTGCAGCTTGAGGCCATTTCCTTTTGTCCTGTCCCTTGTAAGTTGGGAAGAGGCTGACCCCCACATGACTGCAACCTCCTGATGCCAGAAAGTGTTTGGAAGCAGCCAAGTGTCCTCAGATTTTATGGAAGTGGGGTTCCCCCCACAACCGTGGAGCTCGGTGGGAAAAGCCAAGGGGGGTTGGTTGGTGACATGAACACTGGTGACTCCCAACTGGAGTGTAAGTGAGGAATACCATGTCCCTGCGCTCCTCGTGGCCTAGGGTACCCTGGCCCCAAGCCAGGAGATCCTTCTTCCATAGCCACTGCCATCCCCCAACCTAAAGCAGTTACCCTGGGGTCCTCGGGGTCCACGGGCAGGGGCTGAGCCAGGATGTCAATGTCATCTCCGGAGCTGCCAACGGCCACGTAGCTGTAGGATCCCCGGATGTAGGGAGTGCTGTGCCACTGGGACCGGAGCACGCTCCTGGGAGTGGGCAGGAGTGGGTTCCCTGTGGGTGCAGAATCTCAGTGGGATCCAGAAATCCAGGGGGATGGGGTGACAAGGGCAGAGGAGGCAGTGGTTACCTGTAAGTGTGCGGAGCATGTGTGTCATGGTGCTGAGGACTTCTGCATCACTCAGTGTCTCCATGTACTCTGACTCCTTCCCTGCGATGAAGCCACAGAGGACGTGCCCATGCCTGGGGAGGAAAGATGGGGTTGAGATCTGCCACCCTCCTGCTGCTCACCAGGAAACATGGGAGCACTGATGCATCACAGGCCACCAGTGACCCAGAGACGGTCTTGAAGCTCAAGACAGAACCAAGACACTCTCACATTGTCTAGGAGATGCCCTAACCCCTGTTGCTGGTTCTCCTATCACATACTGCTCTGGTGGTTGGAGGACCACAAATCCAATGAGCTTCTTGAACCAGTTGGCCTCCAGGTCGGTGCTGGGCTTCTCGAGGGGAGACTCATCCTCCCACACCACTTCAATGAGCTGCTGCTGGGGCTCCCAGAAAGGCTGCTCGAACTCCAGAAAGATCTTGTTGTTGGTGCCAAAACCCAGGCGGCGAATAGCCTCTGCTTTCCGTTCAGGCAGGGGAGGCTGGAAGAAGTCCTGGTGGCGTTCCTTGAGGAAACCTGTAGGCAGATGATTAGGCAGAAGAACCAGCACCTCTGTTTGCTGGGCTCTGAAGTGGGGTCAGAGCCCATTTCCATCCTCCCCTCTCCCACCAGGAGCCTGCCCATCATCAGCCATGCCAACTGGTTGGAGGGGACAGGCAGGGCAAGGAAAGGTGTTGATGTCCTCACCCAGTGGGACGGTGACAATGACGTGGTCGGCGAGGAAGGTGTCTCCATCTTCACACTCCACACGGACGGGGAAATCCCTAGCATTATCCCCTTCCTCACAGAAGGACCCTTGCCACTGGATGGTCCTCACTGCCTTGTTGAGCAGCACCGTGCCCTCAGGGAGAGTTGAGAGTATGTGCTCGGCCAAGCTGCTGTAGCCACTGCAGGAGGAGGTGCTGATGGGAATAGGGTGCCCCTATAAAATGCTCTTCCATTTCCCTCTCCAGAGCCCTGTGCTTACCCCGGGAAAGTGCAGTCCAGGCCTGGTAGGGAAACGTACTCCCCAAAGGGCTCTAGGGCCACCAGGTCCATGCTGTGGGTGCCACTGATGCAACACTCCAGCTTGAGGCATGTGGCGAGGATGGCCAGCTGGAGCCGCCGGGCATCCTCCTTGCCCCCCCCCAAAGCGGGGACCCTGCGAGTGATCTCTGCCCGCACGTACTGTCCCACACTGGACGCTGGTGGCTCCTCAGCACCCCGAAAATCACGGGCAGAGGCTAGGAGGGTGTCAAATAGGTCGTGGGCTTCACTCACCGCCTGCGGGCTCAGCGCCCTCCCTGAGCTGCCGTAAGTGATGGAGGGCAGCGGGGGGTGACCCCCTGCCTCTGCCCGCTGGTTTTCCTCCAAGGCAGCCTCCGGGCCCAGCAGCCCATAGCGGGTGGCGAGGCAGAAGACAGGGTTCGCTGGCGAGGGGCCGTGGATCCAATGTGCCCCCATCTCTGCGAGCCCTGACGCTGCGGAGGAGGAGGAGGGTATCACCCCAGGGCAGGACCCCCAGAACCAGCTGGAGTCAGCGGACCCTGCCCAACCCCCTGTTCCACTCGTCACTGTCTCCAGTGTGCTCCCACTGCACCCGCAAGACCAGACACCCCCAGCCCCGTGTCCCCCACTCAGGAACCGGCCCCACAGCGGCGGTCGCGGTGCAGTTCCCCCATCCCCGGTGCTACCCCCGGGGCGGTTCCGGCGCCGGGGCCACCCCCCGGGGCTCCTCCGTACCGAAGGGGCGGGTGCAGACGCGGCCGCCGGCGCGGGACGCCGCCTCCAGCAGCCGCACGGAGCCGGTCCCGCGGAGCCGCTGCACCGCGCCCAACCCCGCCAGCCCCGCGCCGACCGCCACCACCCGCCGCACGCCACGGCCCTCCATGGCGCCCGCAACGCCCCGCCCCGTCCCGTCCCTTCCTGCTTGGTCTCGCCTCCGCCAGGCCCCGCCTTTTCCCATCGCATCTCGTGTGTGACCACTGCAAGTGCGGGGGAGAGGGAAGCGCAGGGAGGTGGGTTGGGAACGGGCTGGAAGGGGCTCTTCATCAGGGACTGCAGCGATAGGACAAGGGGTGATGGGTTCAAACTGAAACAGGGGAAGTTCAGGTTGGGGATAAGGCAGAAGTTCTTCCTTGTGAGGGTGCTGAGGCACTGGCACAGGGTGCCCAGAGAAGCTGTGGCTGCCCCATCCCTGGCAGTGTTCAAGGCCAGGTTGGACACAGGGGCTTGGAGCAACCTGCTCTAGTGGAAGGTGTCCCTGCCTGTGGCAGGGGATTGGAACTGGATGAGCTTTAAGGTCCCTTCCAACACAAGCCACGTTGTGATTCTGTGAAGGGCAGAGCTCAGAAAATTGTTGTGATCAGTGGTGAAGTCAGCAGCGTGCCCTTAAGCCAGGAGGGACAAGAGTATCTTGGGGGCCATAGGCAGGAGTATTGCAACAGATAGAGGGACAGGATCCTCCCCCTCTGCTTACTCTGGTGAGGCCACATCTGGAGCACTGTCTCCAGGTCTGGGCTCCTCAGTACAAGACAGACAAGAGGCCACAAAGATGATCAGGGTTCTGGGGCATCACTTGTGAGGATAGATTACGAGAGCTGGGCCTGGTTAGTCTGGAGAAGAGCAGACTGAGAGGGGGTCACACCAATGCAGATCAGTATCTCAAAGGTGGGTGCCAGGGGGATGGTGCCAGGCTCTTGTCAGTGGTGCCCAGCGACAGGACGAGGAGCAGTGGCCATAAGCTGAAACACAACTTCCACCACAACACAAGGAAGAACTTCTTTCTGTTGATGGTGGCAGAGCACTGGAACAGGCTGCCCAGAGAGGTTGTGAATCTCTCTTTCTGGAGACATTCCAAACCCACCTGGACACATTCCTGTGTGACCTGCTCTGGGTGGCCCTGCCTTGCCAGGGGATTGGACTGGATGATCTTCAGAGTTCCCTCAATCCTGATGATTCTTTATTTAGGAGGTATTTTCCCCACCTCTGGTTTTCCAGCAAGTAGCGAGGTGGGACCACATGGAAGGGGATATGCACCGCAGCAGGACACCAGCCTGGTGGCAGCTTCATAGGGGAGCCATGGCCATACATCCATTCATCCCCTCCATCCCTTTCTGTGCTGTGACTAGGGGCTGGACTCAGACACCCCCCACCTCCCCATGGCCAGACCCAACAATCCCAGCTCTTTCCCATCTCCTTGTGGGTTGGATGCTCTAATCTCCAACCCACTGGGGTCACAGCAGGGTCCCCACATCCCCCTTGCACAGCCAGGATGTGCCTCCAGCATCACCTTTCCAGCAGGGCTGCTTGACTGGTGGCTCCTGCCTGCCCTGATGCCTCAGTTGGCCCCAGTGCTGCCCGCCTGCGCAGCATCACTGGTTCATGAGGAGCTCCCAAGCGAGGAGGACAAACCCTGATGACCAAGGGCTGTGTGGGAAGCACCATCACCACAACTGTGTCAGGCCAGCAGTAAGGAGGGGACAGCATGGAATGTCCCAGTTGAGGGAGAGGGGCCAGGCCACTGGCATCTCCCTGGGGACCCACCACTCTACTGAGACCCCTCCATCAGTTCCAGGATGCTGTTGTAGAGGCGTTCGGGGGCATCCAAGCCCCAGATGAAGTCCCAGTGGTTCCAGTCGGGGATGTGGCCGTAGGTGACAAGGTGGGTGATGCGGGGCAGTAGCAGGCTGACGTCTCTCCAGTCAGCTGCCCAGTCCTCTCCTCCTGACCACACTGCGGTGGGCACGGGCATCTCCTCCACACGGTACAAGGGAGGTGTCTCCTGGAGGGACACGGGGGGCTTTGAGGAACTGCTGCTGCTGTGGTCAACCCCCGCAAGCCAACATGTCCCCACACCACAGAGCCCTGGCACCTCCAGCCACCAGCACTGCTGGTGCAGCCTCCTACCTGGTGGTACACGGCTTGGTTTTCACTGCCATAGTCAAAGGCTTTGAATTCTCCTGATTTCATCACCTGCAAGGAGAAGGTAGATCTGCAGTGGGAGGCCAGGGAGCACCTTTGTGTGAGTACTTCATCTCCCAGCCTCCTAAAGGGATCACGTCATGAGAGAAGGTCGTGATGCATGGAGGTGGCATCCCTCCCAGGCTGGACTTTCTATCATTTTTAGCAGGGTGATGATTTGAACTCCACCACAACTCCTGTCACTAGCTATGGGTTAGCAAACTAAGGCATTTCGTGTGGCACTTTGGCTGCTGCAGTGTGATGAAGGTACGTCTGCAGACCTGCTCATCACCAGCTCATGTGCAGGGTGCTGCTGGAGGACTTCACACTGGCAAGTTTTCCTTCAATAACCTGATCATCATTTTTACTTTCTTGCACACTCTGGGCTCAGTGTATAGAGACATCAGTCCCAGGTATTGTAAGGGTTGCTTCTATGCTAGGAACCTACCTGGGCCCAGTGTATCATGGTTTTGACAGATGTCCTATCTGGATAGTGAGATGTGTACACATCCAGCCGTGTCTGCAAGGAAACACATTCAAACTATCATAGACTAGAGCACAAGTCTGGTGAGGAATGGCTGAGGGACCTGGGGGGTTTAGTCTGAGAAGAGAAGGCTCAGGGGGGAACTTTTCACTCCCTACAACTGCCTGACAGGAGGATGGAGCCAGGAGGGGCTGGGCTCTGCTCCCAAGGAACAAGGGATGGGACAAGAGGAAACAGCCCCAAGCTGCACCAGGGCAGGTTTAGATGGAGCTGAGGAACAATTCCTTCCCCACAGGGTGCTCAGGCATTGGAACAGGCTGCCCAGGGCAGCGCTGGAGTCACCGTCCCTGCAAGTGTTCACACACCGTGGAGAGGAGGCCTCAGTGCCATGGGTTAGTGGTGGCCTTGGCAGTGCTGGGGAGTGGTTGGACTGGATGAGCTTAAAGGTCTTTTCCAGCCTAGTTGATTCTGTGATTCTATGATTGCTTTCCAATGGATAGGAGCAAGGATGGCAGTTGCCAGATGATGCATTTCCCAAAACAGCCACTGCTGAGCCAAGCTGCCTAGAGATTTGGGCCAGGAATATAATCTTCATTAAAACCCCATTGCTCTCAGACAGCTCCAGGAGAATGGTGAAGGATGAGGTACCCTCTAGCTCCTGGAGATACCTCTTCTGGGCTCAGGGACTGTGCTCAAGACCTTATTGACTACTTGTGGTCACCCAGATGCTCCTTCAGCAGGGTGGGCAGGAGTAGGAGCTGCACCCAGCGGTGCTGGTGGGATGTACAGCTGCTCTCAGTGGCAGTGGGTGCTGCTGGGTGCTCCCAAGCAGTGCAGCCCAGGGCTCCGGCTCTCTCATCCCCACGCGGAGTGCTTGCACTCACCGTGTTGAAGTTCTTCTCATTGTAGCCACCCAGCAGGAAGAGGAGGTTGGCACAAGGCTTGTGCAGCAGCGGGTTCCTGCAGAGATGGGGGAGAAACCTCCACAGCTTCCTAATCCGCAGCGAGGCATCCGTTCTGCCGAGCAGGAGCTGTAGGAGCAATGAGCAAGGTCGGTGTCTGGCGCTTCCCTTCCTTGCGCCTAGTCCTCAAATTATGTGTCGTCCCCCCAGCGATGTGCCACCAGCCACTGTCCCCTCAGCTGGGTGGGGAGGGGATGTGTGGCACTCACATGGGTCAGCCCCGTTTCTCCTTTGCCCCCACCCCGCTGCGGTGTGCACAGCTCAGTACAGAGGCAATGCTGACTGAATGGCACCAGGGAAATCAGTACTTGGGACCCTCTTCTTCGCCCCCAGGTGCTGGTTCGTCGTTAACATCAGCACAGTAAAGCTGCTCTTTCCTAGGTGGTCTGTTCATGAATTCAACAAGAGCCCCCACAGAAACACCAGCTTCAATACCCTGAGATCCTGCAGAGACGTGCATGCAATAAAGTGACTGTGCAGGGTGCCTCTGCACCTGATGAATTGTGTCTGTGCCTGTAAATCAGCAGGAATTCACTGTCTCCCACTGTGTCAGGTAGCCCCAGGGGCTGTAAGGGCATGATCCCTTTTCTAGCACTGGCGTGTTTGGGAGAGGAGAGCATAGCGCAATCCCCTACCTGGAACGTCTTGAATTGCCTGTCTAGAAGGACGGACAGTCTCATGATGGGACTTCTGGCGTGTTTGATTGTCACTACTGGAGCGAGGGCAAAAAACAGTTTGATTTTCTGAGCCAGCTCTGGCATGGATGAAAAGGCAATGAATGCTGAGGAAACAGAAAAACAACCTAAGAATGGTTTCATCTTTCTTCAGGTGCTTAATCTGAGGGTTTGCTTGCCCAGACCTGTTTAGCTGGCATTATACCCAATTAGAAATCTGGGATCTCTTCCCACCTTTCTGCTTAGCATTAGTGCTAGAGATATCCAGAAGGAGACAAAGCCTTTATCCCTATAGTTAGAAGTGGCTGATGAGGCACTTCAATGATTGCTACTGATGGGAAGTCCTGCCCCATTCACCAGGTGAAGGGAACAGTGCTGTCACCTTTTATCAACCCCTGCTAAAGGGTGTCATCATCACAGGTTATCTCATACCCCTGATGGCCCAGGTGAAAAGAAGCACAATGCATTTCATTGGAAAGTAGAAGCTGTGACATCCATGCAAAACACCTTTGGTTTTGATGCAGGATGCTGCAATTTGGTTTTTGAGGTTGAATTATAGTTGCAGCAAGGAACTTATTGAGATCACCGGGAGCTTTCTGACTGCCTTAGGAGCAAGCTGGTCCTCCTAGATGTCTGATATGAAAAGCGTGGCTTGTGTGCCTCACTGCAAGAGACCTTCTGTCTGCCTGCTTGTCAGCCCTCAAAGATTGGACCTCTCTGCTTCCTGCTTACAAACACCAAAATGAGTGTTTTCAAGGTGGTGCAGGCAGTTCTAACACACCGATCGTGCAGCCCTGGGAGTAGCCAATGTAATAGATCTGCTGCTGTCCAGTCTTCTGCAGGATGAAGTTGATCATGGCTGGGAGATCGTACATTGCCATCTCATGAAAGCTGCAACACAGGAGCAGTTCACTGGTTATAAGGTAACACCAGGAAAGCAAAGTTCCCTGTGAATTTTGGCTGTCTTGCATTGCTTCTATACTGAAGGGCTTAATATCCGTGGCTGATTTACCAGGAGAAAATTCCTATGAGGCAGGAGAGCCCTGTGCTGGGTGAAACTGCCCAGGGACTGAATGTATCCCTCCTGCAATGGCCTCACCCTTCCCTGAAAGGGCTTAGTCCTCCCATAGCCATAGTTAGCAGCGAAGAAGCTGTGCAGGGACTGGCCAGCTGTGCATGCAGGTCTGCAGCCTTAGAGCTGCCTCTTGTCAGGGTTACAGCACCACCTCTGCCCCTAGAGATGCTCTTTCTCTGCAGTGAATGGAGCACTGGTTACTGCCCATGTGCTTTTTAGTGTGACGAGGTGAAGCCCAGGCCTACTTTATCAGGCTTTTCTTACTGGAAGCATGTTTATGAGCTTGGAAAATCCAGGACTGCTCTGAAGATCAGTTCTGGAGAGGCAGTAGCAGTCTAAAAAGCCATTCTTGGAAATAAGGTTTCTGTGGGCAACATCTAGGAGAAGGGTAGGTGGCAGTGACACTTCTGGACCCTTTGCTGGGGGTTTTGGCAAGGGAAGTCCCTGCAGAGGCCCCGGAATAGGGCTGATGTCTCTACAGGATGGATGTCCTCATGCATGCAGCAGGGCCAGGCAGCTGCAGGGAGCTGCTGGCACCGTGTCAGCAGGCAGGTCTGCACAGGTACCTCCAAATCCCTGGCACATCACTGGGAATGCTGGGGGAGGCCGTACTTGAGACAAGGTGCTCCGACTTGCCTGCCCGGAGGCACCCACCTCTGCCTAGATGTTAGTGACAGGCAGAGGAACCGGCTGTGCTGTTGTGATCCACTCCAGCCCACCTGAAATCCCAGAATTCAGCCTGGTCAGCGGAAAGGTGCTGGTGTCGCTGGGACCAGCTCGTCCCTCGGCTGTTTCCCAGCCAGACATCATAGCCAGAGTCTGCGAGTATGAAGCCAAGGCTGTTGTTAGATAGGTTTTCCACCCAGTGGCTGCCTTCTCCGAGTAAGCCGTGCTGGAGAAACACAACTGGCTTGGGCTCTGGACATGAAAGAAACAGCACATTGCACTGAACCAGAATTACCCTGCTTATTCACCCCAAATTCAGGCCAATAACGCCTCTTTCTCACACTGCCAGAGAACATACAGTGTGCATTTGAATGACACCTCCTGGTGAAGCAATCCTTGCCGTAGTTACCTTGTGGTGATTGCCCTTGTTGTCTTAGGCTGGAGAGCTGCAGATGTCCCTCTTAAACCCTTCAGACCCCACAAGCTCATCCCCACAAGGTCAGTATAGTGGATACTGAGAACAGCCATGTGAAAGCTCAAATGTACAGGCTCATTTCTGAGATTGTTCAAACCCCAGAGGCATAGATTTATGGGGGGGGGGGGGGGGGGAATTAAATGCAGATATATCTCTTCAGATATGTCTGCACCCTCTGGACCTTTTTGAGGCTCAGGTCTCTGCTGGATGTGACAGGCAGTTGTTGTGGTGCAGACACACTCTCCTGTGCTGGCTGCTAGGAATGTGACTGTAAATCTGAGAAGTGCTGCACATTTGGTGGTTTTGCTGTCACGATAAATACTCCCCTGGCTGCTCAGGCTCATCCCATCACCTGCTTGTTATGTTCAGTCTGTTTGGGGTTTTTTTGCTGCCTTCCTTGTGAAATAGAGGCATACCTCTGTTCCTAGGATTTGCTCTTCCATAAGGAATCCTGTTAAGGCTGACGTAGTAGCCATCATAAGTCAGGACTTCATACTCCTCACTGAGATACCCTCTGTGGCAGATGATTTGGCTCTGGGGAAAGAAAAACACAGGTAGGAAGCTGAACCTCCCCTGGCGCAGCTTGAAGCTGTTCCTTCTTGTCCCATCCCTTGTTCCTTGGGAGCAGAGACCAGGCCCCTCCTAGCTCCATCCTCCTTTCAGGTAGTTGTAGAGAGTGATAAGGTCCCCCTGAGGCTTCTCTTCTCCATATGGTGCTCCATGAGATGCTCAGCTGTGGGCTTTGAGCAGGAGAGGGGTGAGTGGCAGCAGGGCTCCCCAGCAGCATGCAGCAAGAAATGCATTTGAGATGTTTCCAAACCCGAAGATTGAAACAAAAAGGGTTTGCTGACAGCTGACATGTCATGTCACACTGAGCTGATGCGTGGGGCAGATAAGATAGCAGGCATATCGAACCTGCTGAGCGGGGCTGACTGGAAGGGCAATAGGACAAACCCTGTAGGATTTGTCTCATGGTTCCTGAGGCTTTGCCTGAGCTTTATTTATGCTGAAAACTTGGCAGACTGGGAAGTTTCAGTCTGGTGAAGTCCAGCTGTGGTCCTGCCTACACATCGCCATGTGCTTGCTTCGTCACACAGTTGGCAGAAGGGATTAATTTCAGCAATTTAATTGCCCATGTCACAGGTCCATTTAAAACCACCTCTAGAGAGTTGCAGAACCCACCTGGACATGGCCCTGAGCTGCTTGCTGCAGCTGAAAGAGAGAAGCCTTGCACAGCTTCAGACCCTCCAGGAAGGTGTCTGGTCAAATCCAGGCTGGGTTTACCCCTTCTCTAACTGACCTGCTGGTAATTGCACTTCATACTGCTGGGAGGAACAGGGCTCCTTCAGGAAGCAGGGCTTGCTAATGATGGTATGGAGGCAACGTCAGACTGCACCGCTCCAGAAAACCAGCACGCATGATGAACCAAACCTCCTCCACATGCATCCCCTCCATCTCTCTCTCCCCCAGATAAACATCCCCAAGCTGTTCTCCTGACTTACAACATTCATGAAAGTCTCGGGATTTATGACCTTTTTCTGCTCGAAGGCATCTTCTGAGTTCACGGGTGCTTGTGTCAAAACCAGGATTGCAATCAACAGCCACATCTTGTGCCTGTGTAAAGTATTACTATTACTATTGCTGTTGCCATTGCTATTGCTGTTGCTGTGGGTATTTAACATTGTATGAATGTCTGCTTCCACTTGTTTATGATGGGTTAGGTTCCTTATATATCTGAAGACCATATATCATGGTCTGGGCTGGAAGCAGAATGGATTCCCAATTCCAACTACCATTACAGTCCATGCAAGGCTCTTCATACTCCTCCGTACATACTAGATCTGGTACTAGGCAAGACCCGTTTTTATATTTTTAGTGGTAAAAAGTAGAGAAACAGCTTTATAATGCAAGAACTGAAGTGATAGAAAATGCCCTCGGGTCAATTGTCATGGAGGGGGAATTAATTCAAAATGAATGAATGAATTAATGAATGAATTAATTAATTGATTCAAAGTAAAAGTTTATGCTATAGAAGGAACACATTTAGGTTGGCTGGGCTATGATTATGTCTATACTTTTGCTGTTTCTCTATTGCTTAGCTTTTGCACCCAGAAGCCACTGTGAACAGATGGATACTATAAACTGAAACTGGTAGAGCCTCATAGGAAGGCTATTTATAAAGTAAGTGTAGCTTGAAAAAATCCACCCCAGATACCATTTTGATCACCTTAGAGACTTTTTTTTACCAAGCAGAGATCTATTTTTAATACACATACTTCATATTAGATATAATTTTTAATCCTTTGACAGGCTCTTAAAAGTTTGAGTTTAACTCCAACCCAGTAGCGTGAGTTGCAAATCATCTCACCAGTCATCTGGTTGCTCTCTACCTCCCTTCTTCCTCCTCCTCATGGGTCTCTCACACGGTGAGACATATCATACTGAAATATTCCCAGTAACCCTCTCTATGGTATTGCCAAGAGGCAAGTTACCAAGAACAAGAGCAATCAATGCTTTTCCACCCTCAGGATAGCTCCAATGAAAACCTGAATTACGTGAAGGAAAATACATTACCCAGCAGAGCCCACCGTCGTCACTGCTCAGGCTGGTGGTGTGAATGGTGGTGGCTCTATCACCACCACTGTTAAAGCCAGAACGTTGTGTCAGATCCCTGACACCATGCTGGACCATGTCATGTGTCCTCCAATTAAGTGATGTGTGTACTGGTCATATCTTTGATAACTTCCTGCTTGTCCACGTGGTTGTGACTTTCCTGCTTGCAAATGATTACGTTTCCAAAAGCAGTGGAGTGGTGCAGCAAGGATTTTCAGCTACGGAATTGCACCTTGAGCTCCTGGTAGCTACAGTAAAAAAATGTCAAGAAGTTTGTCAACAAGTAGATCATTTCCTAACTCCAAGGAGCTCTTTGGAAATGCCTCTTCTATGATGAGAGCTCCTGGGGAAATGAAAGGACTTGGACTCTATCAGCTTCACAAGGCCTCAGGGGTATGTCAGCCTCTCCATAGACACGTCATGGCTTAAACCCAGCTGGCAACTAAGTACCATGCAGTACAAGCCCTGTTGTGATCCTCCTGTCATTCCAGAAATACAAATGGGTTCTGCCCCTCAGTGGCTCAATGGCATTAGGATATCAGCATTATTCTCAGACTAAAGCCAAAATACAGCACCGTACCAGCTGCTGGGGAGAGGATTAACTCTCCCAGCTGAAACAAGGACAGCACAGCAAGGACAGGTTCCTGCTGTTCCTTCACTGGCTTCCTGCATGGGAGACATTTGGTGCACCACTCTTCAGGAGTGACAGTGGCTCATGCAATGTCCCATAGCCCTTATGCCCAAGTGGTAGTGTGTTTGCAACTGACAACTTGCAAAACCTCTGCGACATTTTCTGGACAAGTACCACACGTAGGTTCTTGCTGATGGACACCAGAGCCTGTGCAATGATTCCATTTGTGTGAAGTGGTAGGTATTTCACAGAGCAAAGGTGCCCATTCTCCACCTCCAGCCCATGACCTTACAACCTACGCCTTTCTGTTGCTGCTTGGTAGCCATCTAAAAGACTAAGCCCTCGGTTGGCCATCAGGTGCTTTGGTTGAGTATACATTTCCTGGTTACGGATTAGGCTGACTTCTAATATTCATACCAGCCATAGTCTATGAGCAGTATGCGAGCTGTGGAACACAGCCCAGATCAAGCACATGTTACTCCATCCACCAGACTGTAATTTTCTGTCAGTGCCACAACTGGTGACGCAAAGAGAGGCTGTGTGTGGGTGCTATCTTCCTGACAGCAGCTGTGGCCTGAGCCTTCACTGTTTCCTTACCTTACTTCTGTCCTTGTGCCTACTTTAGGCTATTGCAAATGTCCTCCCACTCCCACGAGTGCAAAAATCCCTCTACATAAGATGGACTTTACAGGTTGTGTAGAGAGCAATTCCACCGTGCGTCCCAGGAGGAGTTAGAAAACACCCTGTGGATGGAGAAACCCTTACCCAGCTTGTGTACTCCTACTCTAGCATCAAGACAGGCCTCACCTTTTACTTGTATGGTCAGCTACTTCATCCATTGTCAAGTCTTCTGTCTTCTACTTCCATGGAGTATTAGTTATCTAATGGAGGTACTAGGTACTAGTACTAGATAGGAGGCAGCAGAGATTTCTCCATGATCCTCAGGCCATGGGGTGAGGCTGTCGGCACAGAGTTATCAGTGCTGGGGCTTGTGTGTGATTTCACACCAGGACCTATCATAACTGTGGTAGGAAGGAAAGAAGTTGGAGCAAAGAGCAGTTAGCTTTTTACTGGGAAACTCTCGTGGAGCTTAGTCAAAGGAAGAAATGAAGACCTTTGAGTTATTTGAAGTTAGGAGACCCAAGTTGGATGTTTTGACACACAGTGTAGGTGGAAAGAGAAATACCATCATAACACTGCTGTGACTGTGCACTTAACAGAATTGCAAATAGTCACTAGTATAACCTACAGGCCAGGATGCCATAATACATGGTAAGATGCACAACATTAGATAGACTAATATGGGCATCTTAAATTGAACCATACTCATGGGATGGTTTTACGGCATTGTGGTGGGAACCAATGTAAGAAAACTCAAAGACTGTTTAGAAACAGAAAGGTATTTTATTTAGCTTTCTAACCAAGTAGACCGTACCAATCAGCACTTTCACACACAAACTTTCAGAGGGGCCAAGATGTGTGCACCAAGTGGCCTGTCCAGGGTCACCTGGGTGTGATATGGAAGGCAAGGATTGCCAGCTACTGAGTTCTCCATAAGCCTTCTGCGTTCTGCTTGCAGCCCGAAGTCCAAGTCTTTCTTGGCCTTTAAGGTACTGTAGGAGTCAGAAGTTACTACGACGTGACATATTGCTTCTGCATCTCATTTACTTCATGCTTCATAAATATAAGGCAATGTTGCTGCTGGTTGTCTCACTTTTTTGTTATCATTTTGTAACACATCCTGCTGTTGGGATAACAACAAGAGAAACAATCCATGAAAGGTCAGCTACAGGGAGCCTATAGCATACAGGGGCAGCTGTATCCCCACTGCTGCCCTGTTAACAGATGCAGGCCTTCTGCTGATGAGTCACCTTCTCTGTGGCACATCACAGTGCAAGCAACACCTTCCTCAGTTTGATTGGTGTTAATCATGTGCTTGTCTATCAATGCATACCATTCCTCTAACTCCTGCTCTGGTGTTTCTCCCAGTGTTCTCATGCATGTTCAAGCCTCCTGACTGTATGCCTACAATGCTGGTTCTTACCTTCTATCCATTGCCTCTTGCCAAGCACAAGGGTAAGCAGGGAGATACTTAACTAGCTGTCATCAGAATTGGGATCCTGAAGGGGGGGCGAGACTATCATTCTGATTTTAGCAACAAGGAACATCAAATCTTATGTAATTCCTGTCAGATAAGCAGGTTTCCCTTGCAGTAACCTTGGAGAACCTTGCTCAAGTTAAAGAACCTAATGAGAAACAGTCCTAATCTGGTTGTACCTTTCCTAGTTTAAAGCCCCCAGGTGGGCTGGGGTATCTCCAGCATCTCTGATTACACATGTAGTAGGGATTTTACTCCTGGTAGACTTGGGCAGTGAAGCTTGATGAAACAGTGTATTCTTTTTACAACACCTTGCTGGAATTGTTTATGGAATGTTTATTCACAGTAATGAAACTGAATTAGCAATGCATAAATGTGCCTTGAGGTTGGTTGTGGAATAGCTGAGATGTGGTCACCAGTGCTTTGTCTCATCTTACTCTTCCCGTTTCTTTGTTCAGAAGACCCCCAGAAGAACCCTGAAGTTCTTGTACTTTTTCTCTGATCTCTCTTCATTGTACAATTGGCTTTGAAAAGCCTGCTAAAGCTGAAGGAGTTGGTTTTGTTCATCACCTGAGCCAACTTCAGCAAACTTGCTCAATAAATAAACACAAAATTTTATCATAGTGCTCTTGGGGTTATTTTAATTTTTATATTCATATATACATATAATTTGAGACTATATTTATAAAAATACTTGAGAATATATTTATTTATATTTATATTTATATTTATATATTTGAGACCTTCAGGGAGTGCTAACATGTCCATGCAACATAGTCCAGGGTCAGGAATGGAGACTAACATAGGCTTGTAAAGAGTACAGGAGACAGGTACCGCTATACAAAAATACAAGCCTCAAAACCCAGTTGCTGTCTCTCTCTTCCAAGCAATCTCAAAAGCAAATTTGGAAATAACATAGGGCAGAACACAGAAATTGCTTATGGTTTCTGGAATAAGAAAGCAACATATCCTCAACTGAATAAAACTACTCAGCGATGCTGGTGACTGCTGGAAACTGTTGTCATGCTTGCTGTTAAGGACCAAAAAAACCATGTAAAGGGAGTACACTATCCGACATAAGTCGATTAAACCTTATCTTAGGTGAACCCTGGTACAAGTGAGTTTCTAAGTAACAGTATAGGCCAGTATGTTGCTTAAAGCAGACACCAAAGCATAACCCTCAAGCAGCAAGGACACTGTAGTAGATGTGCTCACCGCCTCTCCAGTGTGGACACAGACTGGAGCTGGGCTACATGCTTCACAGTTCATGTCCGTGCTGCCTTTTCTTGCATTGACCATGATGATGGTAGAAAATCATAGGTCAGCAAACGTGGTGCAACTACTGTATTTTGAACAGGATTTGTTATGGTTTCAAGCCCTTTTAGCCTTGTGTGCCATAAGTGAGCAAGAATGGCTTTGCATTAGCACATCTGGGAGGACAGTAAGAAAGTGGCTGAATTCTGTGGCTTAAGCCCAGCGAGCTACTAAGTACCATGCAGTTGCTCTCTCACCCCACCCTCCCATAGCCCCACTGTAGCATGGGGAGAAGAATCAGAAAAAGGTAAAACCTATGGGCTGAGATAAGAACAGTTTAATAATAGAAATAAAAC